GCTTCCCGTCTCGGGTCCTCCAGCAGCAACCGGGAGAGAGGAACTTCCACGCCTTCTACCAGGTGAACCAGGGGGGGGGATGGAGATGGGATGGGATGGAGATGCGATGGGATGGGAATGGGGATAAAGATGGGATGGGATGGAGAATGGGGATGGAGATTGACATGGACATGGGGATGGAGATGGGATGGGGATAGGGATAGGGATAGGGATAGGGATAGGGATAGGGGTAGGGATGGGGTTGGGGATGGGGATGGGGTGGGGTGGGATGGGATGGGGATGGGATGGGGATGGGGACAGAGAATGGAGATGGAGATGGGATGGGGATGGAGAATGGAGATGGAGATGGGGATGAGGATGAGATGGGGATGGATGGGATGGGGACTGGGATGGAGGTGGAGATGGGGTGAAGGTGGAGGTAGGATGGGATGGGGATGGAGAATGGAGATTGGGATGGGATGGCGATGGAGGATGGGGATGGGATGGGAATGGGAATGGGTTTGAAGATGGGGATGAGGATGAAGATGGGGATGGGAATGGAGATGGGATGGGGATGGAGATGGGATGGGGTGAGGTGGGATGGGATGGGGATGGGAATGGAGATGGGATGGGGATGGAGATGGGATGGGGTGAGGTGGGATGGGATGGGGATGGAGATGGGATGGGGTGGGAATGGGGATGGAGAGAGACGTGGATCAGGTTGGAGATGGAGATGGAGACTAGAGGTGTGGCTGCTCTTCCTCCTCTCCATCCTCTTCCCCATCCCTGGAAAGTCACTCCTTGTCCCCCCGGGGGCTGGAGCTGGACGCATTGTGTCCACATGGGGCTGGGGAAGGACCAGGGGGACCCCACATTCCTGTGGGTGACGGCCTCTCTGCCTTCCCTTCCAGCCATCCAGGGGGACAACGAGGTGCTGGTGCTGGTGGAGAGGCGGAGGTGAGACCTTTCCACCCAAACATCCCACCCTGCCCAAGCTCCCCCATCTCCTGTGGGGTATTCCCCGCTCCATGGTGACCCCCAGAAGAGACCTGGGACCGTTCTTGGGGCAGGGGGGTGTCCATGGGGTGGGTTTTCTGAGGTCCTGCTGTCCTCAGGACGCTCTACATCCAAGGGGAGAGGAAGCTGGATTTCCTGGGCTGGGTGCAGGCCATCCAGAAGGCAGCGGGCAGCGGGGGGGACACCTTGTCGGAGCAGCAGCTGACGGAGGCCGACGTCCCGCTGCTGGTGGACCGATGCGTTGACTACATCACCCAATGTGGTAGGTGGCCGTGGGTCCCACCTCCGGTGGGGTTTGGTTGGGTTCTTCTCCCTCTGAATCCCCTCCGTGGTAGGCTGAGACCTCACGTGCTCGTGACACGGCTTTTCCACCCCTCCTGGAAGAATCTGAGCCAGGTCCGGGGGTGGAATCTGGGTGGGGAAGGGATTTGGGCTCCTGTCCATGGCTTCTTGGTGGTCGTGGCATCACCTGCGGGGGTGGGAGGCACCACGGGACCGGCTCCGGCTCCTTTCCAGCAGCATCTGGAGCTGGAATTTGGGTGGGAATTGACCTTTAAAGGTCACTCAGTCCCACCCCTTGCCCTGGGCAGGGACATCTCCCAGCAGAACAGGTCGCTCCAAGCCCCCTCCAACCTGGCCTTGAACCCCTCCAGGGATGGGGCAGTGTCCCACCACCTCTCCCCACCCTCAGAGTGAAAAATTCCTCCCGAATATCTCATCTAAATCTCCCTTTTTCGGTTTAAAACCCTCCCCCCTCGTCCTGTGGCTCCCCCTCCCTGATAAAAAGTCTGTCCCCACCTCCTCTGAGGGGGGGCTGAGAGAGTTGGGGGGGTTCAGCCTGGAGAAGAGAAGGCTCCGGGGAGACTGTGAAGCCCCTTCCAGTCCCTCAAGGGGCTCCAGGAGAGATGGGGAGGGACTCTGGATGAGGGAGGGGAGCCCTAGGAGGAGGGGGAAGGGTTTGACCCTGAAAGAGGGGAGATGGAGATGAGATGTGGGGAAGAGATGGATGGATGGATGGATGGATGGATGGATGGATGGATGGATGGATGGATGGAAGAAAAGATGGATGGATGGAAAGAAAGATGGATGGATGGAAGGAAAGAAAGAAAGATGGATGGATGGAAGGAAAGAAAGATGGATCGATGGATGGAAGGAAAGAAAGATGGATGGATGGAATGATGGATGGATGGATGGAAGGAAAGAAAGATGGATGGATGGATGGATGGAAGGAAGGAAGGAAGGAAGGATGGATGGATGGATGGATGGATGGATGGATGGATGGAAGGAAAGATGGATGGATGGATGGATGGATGGATGGATGGATGGATGGATGGATGGAAGGAAAGATGGATGGATGGATGGATGGATGGATGGATGGATGGATGGATGGATCCTGTGCATGTGCTCTAGGTAGACCCGCTCTGGCGGGGGGGGTTGGACTAGATGATCTCCAGAGGTCCCTTCCAACCCCATATGATTCTATGATTCAATGGATGGATGGATGGGTTGAGACCCTGGCCCAGGTTGCCCTGAGAAGCTGTGGCTGCCCCATCCCTGGAGGGGTTCAAGGCCAGGTTGGAGGGGGCTTGGAGCAACCTGCTCTGGTGGGAGGTGTCCCTGGGTGGAACCGGATGATCTTTAAGGTCCCTTCCCACCCAAAACCATCCCGTGATTCTACCAGGGACCGGAAAGTGCTCTGAGGTCTCTCTAGAACCTTCTCCTCTCCACGCTGAGGAGCAAAAGCTCCCAGGGATGGAGATGGTGGGTTGATGGGTGGGTAGACTGAGATGGGGTGGCATGAGAAGGTCTCATCCCCGGGGGCTCTGTTGTAGGGTTGACCTCCGAGGGCATCTACCGCAAGAGTGGGCAGAACTCCAAGACCACCAGCCTGCTGGAGATGCTGCGGCGGGACGCCCGCTCCGTCTGCCTGAAGGAGGGCGAGCACCAGGTGGACGACGTGGCCAACACCCTCAAACGCTTCTTCCGTGACCTCGGGGACGGGCTCTTCACCGGGCGCTGGGGCCAGGATTGGCTACGGGCCACCAGTGAGCTTCCAGGGGTGGGGGATGATGCTGGGGAGGGGTGGTGGGGTTGGTGGGACAGGGCAGAGAGGCAGAAAAACCACCCCAAAGCCCTTCGCTTCAGGATCGGGACCCCCATATTGGGGGTGGGGACACCCTGTGGCAAAACAACTGGGATGTTCCAGCCCTGGGATGATGCTCTGGCCCCATGGAGCTGGGATGCTCTGGTTCCTGGGAATCTCGGGCCCCATAGAGTTGGGGTGGTCTGGTTCCATCAAGCTGGGATGCTCTGGTTCCTGGGATGATGCTCTGGCCCCATGGTGCTGGGATGTTCTGGCCCCACAGAGGTGGGATGCTCTGGCTCTGGGAAGCTCTGGTCCCACGGAGATGGGATGTCCTGGTTCCTGGGATGCTCTGGCCCCACAGAGTTGGGATGCTCTGGCCCCATGGAGCTGGGATGTCCTGGTTCCTGGGATGCTCTGGCCCCACAGAGATGGGATGCTCTGGCCCCACAGAGATGGGATGCTCTGGCCCCATTGACCTGGGATGTTCCAGCCCCAAAGAGCTGGGATGCTCGGGCCCCTTGAAGTTGGGATGCTCCAGCCCTGGGATGATGCTCCAGCCCCACGGAGCTGGGATGCTCTGGTTCTTGGGAAGCTCTGGCCCCATAGAGTTAGGGTGCTCTGGCCCCATGGAGTTGGGATGCTCCAGCCCTGGGATGATGCTCTGGCCCCATGGAGCTGGGATGTTCTGGCCCCATGGTGCTGGGATGATCCAGCCCCACAGAGGTGGGATGGGCTCTTCACCGGGAGCTGGGGCCAGGATTGGCTACGGGCCACCAGTGAGCTTCCAGGGGTGGGGGATGATGCTGGGGAGGGGTGGTGGGGTTGGTGGGACAGGGCAGAGAGGCAGAAAAACCACCCCAAAGCCCTTCGCTTCAGGATCGGGACCCCCATATTGGGGGTGGGGACACCCTGTGGCAAAACAACTGGGATGTTCCAGCCCTGGGATGATGCTCTGGCCCCATGGAGCTGGGATGTTCTGGCCCCATGATGCTGAGATGATCCAGCCCACAGAGTTGGGATGCTCCGGCTCTGGGAAGCTCTGGCCCCATGGAGCTGGGATGTCCTGGTTCCTGGGATGCTCCAATTCCTGGGATGCTCTGGCCCCATTGACCTGGGATGTTCCAGCCCCAAAGAGCTGGGATGCTCCAGCCCTGGGATGATGCTCTGGCCCCATGGAGCTGGGATGTTCTGGCCCCATGATGCTGGGATGATCCAGCCCCACAGAGGTGGGATGCTCTGGCTCTGGGAAGCTCTGGTCCCATGGAGCTGGGATGTCCTGGTTCCTGGGGTGCTCTGGTTCCTGGGATGCTCTGGCCCCATTGACCTGGGATGTTCCAGCCCCAAAGAGCTGGGATGCTCGGGCCCCTTGGAGTTGGGATGCTCCAGCCCTGGGATGATGCTCTGGCCCCATGGAGCTGGGACGCTCTGGGTCCTGGGATGCTCCAGCCCCACGGAGCTGGGATATTCTGGTTCCTGGGAAGCTCTGGCCCCACAGAGCTGTGATGCTTGGACCCTAGGAAGCTCCAGCCCCATGGAGCTGGGACGCTCTGGTTCCTGGGATGTTCTGGCCCCATGGAGCTGGGACGCTCTGGGTCCTGGGATGCTCCAGCCCCACGGAGCTGGGATGCTCTGGTTCCTGGGATGCTCCAGCCCCATGGAGCTGGGATGCTCTTGTTCTTGGGATGCTCCAGCCTCATGGAGCTGGGATGCTTGGACCCTGGGATGATGCTCCAGCCCCATGGAGCTGGGATGCTCTGGTTCTTGGGATGCTCCAGCCCCACGGAGCTGGGATGCTCCACTCCCACAGTGGGGCAGGAGGGTCCGAGGTGGGGTCTGGAGAGGGGACGGTGGGGCCGTGGCTCCTTATCTCACCTTCCCACCCTTCCTCCCTCATCCTCTCCCTCTGGCAGCGCTGGAGGATGAGGAGGCCAAGATCGGCGAGTACCGGCGGCTCCTGGGCAACCTCCCCACGGTGAACCGGGCCACGCTGAAGACCCTCATCAACCACCTCTTTCGGTACGGTGTGGGGCGACCACTCCGTGGCACGGCCGAGTCTGGGGTCTCCCCGACCCCCTTTTGGGGCATCACCCCATCCTCTGTGAGGTCCTGGGGTGGAGAAGAGCCTTCATCCCTGGGCTCGCACCCCAAGAAAGGGAAAGAGTGGGATTTTGGGGATCAAGCCGTGCCCAAAGTTGAGCGTTGCGTCCCCATGTGGGTCACCTTCCCCTTGGCGAGGTTCTGGTGGGGAGCTATGGGGCAGGAATCGTAACGGGGGTTCCCCACAGGGTCCAGCTCTTCTCCGGGGAGAACCAGATGAACACGCACAACTTGGCCATCGTCTTCGGGCCCACCCTCTTCCAGACGGACGGCAAGGACTACAAGGCAGGCCGGGTGGTGGAGGACCTCATCAGCCACTACGTGAAGATCTTCAACGTAGGTTCAACACCTCCCCCCACCCACAACAGGACCCTCCCTCTCCCCCCCGGGCCTGGTTTTGGGTCATTCCTAAGGGATGGGGAGGTGGAAGAAGGAAGAAGTTGGGTCTGCTCTGTCTGCAGAGCTTCAGAGATGAAGGGATGGGGGGTTCCGTGTCCCTGCAAACCCTGGAGACCTCCAAGCTTGGAGGTGCTGGACCCACTGGGCAGGGGGAGCAGATTCCTCCAGGGACCCACGTGGGCTGCTGTGGTGGAACTTAAGGGTGGTGTGGTCACCCCTGATGGCTCCTTGGGCTCCTCTTCCTCGGCAGGTCAACGACCAAGAGATGAAGAAGCAGCAGGACGAGATCATGGCCATCATGAAGATGAGGGAGGCAGCGTCCAGTGGGAAGCAGGTGGGTCCTGGACATATGGGGACCATCCTGGGGTCCCCCAGATTGCATGGGGACCTCACCACCGGCTCCAGCATCTCCTGGAGGTGGCCCAGAGCAGGGGATGTCCATGCTGGGGGGGCAGGGGGAAGCTGTAGGTTGAAGGACTTTCCCGTTGTCCTCCAGCAAGCCGGGGACTTCATCTGCACTGTCTACCTGGAGGAGAAGAAGACGGAGGCAGAGCAGCACGTCAAGGTGAGCGGTGGGGTGGAGGGGGCAGAAGGGGACAGGGACCCCCCCATTGCATGCCCTGTGGTGGCATGGGGTGGCATGGCCTTGGGCAATGGTTGATGGAGCTGTGTCCCTTCCCACCCAGATCCCGGCCACCATGACGGCCGAGGAGCTCACCTTTGAGATCCTGGACCGGAGGAAAATCGTCATGAAGGAGAAGGACTATTGGAGCTGCTTCGAAGTGAACGAGAGGGAGGAGGCAGGTTGGTGTGGGGGGCTTGGGGGAGGTGGGGATGGGGATGGAGATGGAGGTGGGATGGGGATGGGGATGGGATGGGACAGGATGGAGATGAGGATGGATGTGGAAATGGAGATGAGGATGGATGTGGAAATGGAGATGAGGATGGAGATGGAGATGGAAATGAGGATGGAGATGAGGATGGAAATGGGGATGGAGGTGGAAATGGAGATGGAGATGGAGATGGAGATGAGGATGGATGTGGAAATGGAGATGAGGATGGAAATGGGGATGGAGATGAGGATGGAGGTGGAAATGGAGAAGGAGATGGAGATGAGGATGGAGATGGAGATGAGGATGGAGATGGAGATATAATGGGAATGGAGGATTGGGATGGTGATGGGATGGAGATGGAGATGGTGATGGAGGTGGGGATGGGATGGGGATGGGGATGGAGATGGTGATTGAGGTGGAAATGCAGATGAGGGTGAAGATGGAGATGGAATGGAGATGGGGTTGGGGATGAAGGTGGAAATGGAGATGGAGATGAGGATGGGGATGGAGGTGGGGATGGGGATGGAGGTGGGGATGGGGATGGAGATGGTGATAGGATGGAGATGGGAGAGGATGGAGATGGGAGAGGATGGGGATGGAGATGAGGATGGAGTGGGGATGGAGATGAGGATGGAGGTGGAAATGGAGATGGAGATGAGGATGGAGATGGAGATATAATGGGAATGGAGGATTGGGATGGTGATGGGACAGAGATGGAGATGGTGATGGTGATGGAGGTGGGGATGGGATGGAGATGGGGATGGAGATCGTGATAGGATGGAGATGGGAGGGGATGGTGATGGGGACGGGGATGGAGTAGGAGATTGAGGTGGAGATGGAGATGGAGATGGGGATGGAGTTGGGAATGGGGGCGGGAATGGGAATGTAGATGGGAATGAGGATGGAGATGGAGGTGGAGATGGGATGGAGATGGTGATAGGATGAAGATGGGAGGGCATGGGGACAGGGATGGAGATGGAGATGGGGTCGGAGGTGGAAATGGAGATGGAGATGAGGATGGGGATGGAGGTGGGGATGGAGATGGTGATAGGATGGAGATGGGAGAGGATGGGGATGGAGATGAGGATGGAGGTGAGGATGGAGGTGGAAATGGAGACAACGATGGGATTAGAGATGGGAAGGGAGATGGAGATGGGGATGGGGATGGAGATGGGGTTGGAGGTGGAAATGGAGATGGGGATGGAGGTGGAAATGGAGATGATGATAGGATGAAGATGGGAGGGGATGGGGATGGAGATGGGGATGGGGATGGAGATGGGGTTGGAGGTGGAAATGGAGATGGGGATGGAGGTGGAAATGGAGATGATGATAGGATGAAGATGGGAGGGGATGGGGATGGAGATGGGGATGGGGATGGAGATGGGGTTGGAGGTGGAAATGGAGATGTAGATGAGGATGGAGATGTAGGTGGGAATGGGAATGGAGATGGTGATAGAATGGAGATGGGAGAGGATGAGGATGGGATTAGAGAGGGGAAGGGAGATGGAGATGGGGATGGGGATGGAGATGGAGATAGAGATAGGGATGGAGATGGAGGTGGGGATGGGGATGGAGATGGTGATAGGATGGAGATGGGAGAAGATGGGGATGGAGATGAGGATGGAGGTGAGGGTGGAGGTGGAAATGGAGATGAGGCTGGGATTAGAGATGGGAAGGGAGATGGAGATGGGAATGGGGATGGAGATGGAGATGGTGATAGGATGAAGATGAGAGGGGATGGGGTTGGAGGTGGAAATGGAGATGGGGATGGAGATAGAGATAGGGATAGGGATGGAGATGGGGATGGAGATGGAGATGGAGATGGAGATGGAGATGGAGATGGGGATGGAGATGGAGATGGTGATAGGATGAAGATGCGAGGGGATGGGGTTGGAGGTGGAAATGGAGATGGGGATGGAGATAGAGATAGGGATAGGGATGGAGATGGGGATGGAGATGGAGATGGGGATGGAGATGGAGATGGAGATGGAGATGGAGATGGAGATGGGGATGAGAAGACTCCCGTGGGGACTGCCCCATGGAGCAATGCTGGGACGTGCCCCTTTAATTAGAAGGGGACGGTGCTGGATGGGAGGTCTCCTTGGGGACAAAGTGGGATGGTCCTTTGGCTGGTTTTGGGGACCCTTGGAGGGTGGCAGCCCCTCACCCTGCCCGTCCCCCCCTGCCCCACAGAACGGCCCTTGCACTACTCGGAAAAAGTCCTGCCCATCCTGCACTGCCTGGGGACGGAGAGCTACCTGGTGGTGAAGAAGCAGATGTCCATGGAGAACATGCTCATCTACCTCGGTGAGGAACTGGGAAGGCTGGGATGGGGCTGGGATGGGGATGGGATGGGGTGGGATGGGGATGGAGATGGGGATGGGATGGAGATGAGGATGGGATGGGGATAGAGATGGAGATGAGATGGGATGGGATGGGGATGGGGATGGGATGGGGATGGGGATGGGATGGGGATGGGATGGGATGGGATGGGGATGGATGGGATGGGATGGGGTGGGATGGGATGGGATGGGATGGGAGAGAGAGGGGCTGTGGGAGGGATGCGATGGGAGAGGGATGTGATGGGAGAGAAAGGGGCTGCAGGAGGGTGCGAGGGGAG